ATTGTGTTTGACAATTTTGATGCATTATGGTTTTTTTACGATCCATTGAAAGTTGTAATAATTTTTCTCTGGAAGAATCTTGTATATTTAATTCATCCTTATTCAAATAATCGATTAATTATAATTATTATTAAAAGGAAATTATTACGTTTTTAGAAAAATTAATGTTTTTTATTAATTTATTAAATTAATCTTACCAAAAAATCTTCAAACATCTCTGACAATTTTTCATCATTGATGTCTTCATAATGTAGTATGGAATCTACATCGTCATTAACTATTGTTTCATAATTGTGTAATTGATTTAAGTTTGATCTAAAAGTGTTGTGATTGACAATAGCTGTTACATTGTCACTTCCACCGACATCACCACTTATCCAATTACCCGGATGAGCAACATTATCACTATTATCATCATCGTCCTCATTATTAGTTGTTGTCCCTAATAATAATAACTCAGATGATGATAAATTATCAATCGGATATTCTGAATTATTTAAAGCTGAATTTGAAACTGTATTTATTTTATTTTTTTCCTCGGAAGAATTATCATTTTCTTTGAAAGAATTGTTATTTTCTAAATTGTTATTCATTTTTCCAACGTTTTTTTCCAAAATTAATAAATGTACGAGTGTGTGTAAGTTCTATTAAAAAATTTTTTTTAACGAAATCAGCATTGTTTTAACACCATCGTGTTCATTTCAAGGAGTAACAATATATTCAAAACACGTGATATTATTTGATCAAGTAATTTTTTTTGATTACAATAATAAAAAGGAGAAACAGAAGAAGAAAGGGTTTGATTGTGGTGGTAGTGGGTTTTTAAAGAAATAAATTAAACAAAACACAAATTTGGGTTAATTATATGTGTCACGTGAATAAGACGTCACAATTTTGCTTGTTCCCTATTATGGTGTAAATCTAAATTGATTTATTGGGAAACAAAAAATATTTACAATGGCATTATCACTACCTACAGAAATTCTGATGGAGATTTTTTCAAATCTTCCACCACGGGATCTTTATTCTTTATCAGTGACATGCAAACAATATAGGACTCTTTTATGGTCAGTTACCTCTACCACACAATGTATCTGGCGTACATCAAGACAAAGTTTCTTTGAAGATTTAACCCTACCGCCACCTGAAGGGATGTCAGAACAATATTATATTTGGCTGATGGTGTTGTTGGACAAGTGTCAATTCTGCAACGAAGGCGCTAAATTTAAATTGACAATGTATTGGGAGTTCCGTATGTATTGTTGTGAAAGTTGCTTAAAGGAAAGAACTATAAGTCAACAAGTTTTGGTCAATGAATCTAGAATCCCAGAAATCTTAATACCTTGTATGCCATATGTACGGCGTAATTCTGATCCATGCGAACCGCAATTGTTTCTGAAAAAAGATGTCGTTTCAACCTTGGCATTTTATGAGAATTTAATACCCGAAGAAAAAGAAAATTGGATAATTTTGCAAAAAGAAAAAATTTCAAAATTATCAATGGATAACGAAGGTTATAATATTCAACATGATCGAACAAGGTATGATATTAATGAGCTGATTGTAAGAACATTAAGTAGATATCTGTAAAACCGGCCGATGTATTCATTCATTTTATTCTTTAAGATGAGAATTTCAATCAAATCACCACCAATAAAATTTATTTATAATAGTAATAATTAGACATTAATAAATAAAAATATTAGAATTTTGTTTTTTATAGATTTTTTTTTTTTTTTCAAATAAATAGATTCACAATTAAAATCCAAAGAGAATTATTCTATTTTAGTTTTTATTATTATTTTATTTTAATAATAATAATAATAATAATAGTAATACAATAACAATATATTATTTAAAATATTATCAGATTCAAAATGTTCTTTATAAAAAAAAAATTTTTTTTTCAACTAATGATTAATTATATAATGTTCATTGTATATATTTCCTTCAATAATAATTTTTTGTATTTTATAAATTTTTTTTTTTTTTTTTTTAAACTAAAGACAATTTAAAATTTATCTATATAAATGTATGAAAAATAAAATAGAATTTATTTTTTTATGGTGATGGTAAATTTTCAAAACAATTTTTTTCATCAAGTAATTTTTCTCTATCTCCCCATAACAATTTATAAGAATTTTTAATAGTTGCTTCAGAGACACCAGTTACTTCAGCAACATCTTTTGGTGATTTTGGTTGTTGATACAAACATGAAGCCATATAGATGCAAGCTGCAGCTACCGAGACAGGAGATTTACCTGCCAAAGTACCAAGCTCCTTTGTTCTAGTTGTAAGTTCAAGAGCAGCCTTTTCGGTTTTCATTTTAAGACGCAACATTGAACAGAACCGTGACATCAAATCTTCAGATACCATTGTTGGTACATTAGTTTCGAACGTACCTGTCAAGATTTTAAAACAACGTCCAATGTCTTTTTTTGGAACACGAGTTTTTGCATGGATCTCTTTAAAAGTACGTGGTACATTTTGTTTACGACAAGCAATGAATATACATGCCGCAATTATAGATTCTGTGCTTTTTCCTCTCAACAGTTTCTCTTCTTCGGCACGTCTGTACAATTGTTTAGCAACATCAGCTATAACTTTTGGTAGATCCATTGCATCACTCATTGCTGCAATTTCTTTGTAAGCTTGAATAAGGTTCTTTTCACCTTTTACAGCATTTGCACGACCATGAACTCTGTTTAGGTCTCTTGCAGTTCCACTACCACCATCTCTTCTTGATATCACTGTATCTAATTGTGAACCTTCCAAAAGGGGATTTGCTGCTGCACCAACACGAGATGGATCATCTCCTTCATCATTGGCAAAGGTTCTCCATTCAGATCTAGTATCAATAATACGATCGCCTAATATCAGACCACAGTCACCACAAACTAGATCCCCATTTGCAAATTCTTCAACAATGTTTGGTACAGGGTTTTTACAATCAGGACAAATCAGCCTAATGTTTAAATCTGGGAGAATTTGTTTCGGACCTTTCTCAGGTGCCGGTTGAAGACGTGGAAATGGTATGGCTGACATTTTTTTATTTCTTTTTTTCAAAAAAAAAAAAAAAAACCTAGTATACAACAAATTAAATTATTATTAACTTGCATTCTTCCTTTCATATAATCATAATAATTAATTATTTATTTTTTGCAATATCATATGTGTGTGTGTGTGTATATATATATATATATATACCTTTTGCAATTATAAAATCCTTGTTTCTGAAACTACGCCAAGTGACTTTATATTAATTTAAAAGTAATATTCTTAAAGGTTATATATATATTGTTACGATTATATTACTTTCACACACTTCTTTCCTAGTTTTAAAGTGAGAATTTAGTTGGTTTATTAGGTTTAAAAGTGGCGAATATTTTACGTAAAGGAGTTCAAGGTGAAAAAAAAATAATAACAATGAGGTGCAGCTACCATGTAGTTGTTATTATTTATTATTCACAAAAAATATCCGCAAATTGCTAAATTGATTTCTAAATATGCCCAACCATTATAAATTTCTAAATAATAATAATGATAAACCGCAACTAGAAATTTTCAGGAGTTCAAAAAACGAAGTGAACATTGAATTATATTAATATTAATATGCATCAAATTTTCATAGAGAAAACTACTAAAAAGGAAATAAGTAATTATACATACAATACCATGTACTTTGATGGAAAAATCAATAGTTGTAAAAAAAATCGGAATTTCTCTCTCCATTACTATTACTATTACTATTTATATTATTTATTATTATTCACGTTTTCACAAACTGCAAATATCTTAATATTTCTTACTTTTCCAAACGAATTTTTCTTTCTTGGCCTTTTTTGCTTCAACATACCAAAAAGTCAATGGATAAACCAAAGTGGAATGGAATGAGTTACATGTAAAGAAAGTATTGTTGCTCTCGCTATAAAAAACTTTTATCAATTGTCATGATAAAGAAACAAATATATAATTTTTATATTTATATAAATAAAAACATGATTTACCTTTCCTTGTATGTGGATGAATACTTTTGTCTCCGTATGTTGCATCTTTATACGTACGCAACTATGGTTGCAAAAGTTGCAGTTGCTGGATCACACTATTCGAGTTCTTTATTCACATTATAATAATACCGAAAAAGCCATCTTTTGGGGCTAATTGCTCTTTTTCAAGTTCTCTCAAGTACCTGAAATTAATAAAATCCATAGCCCCCGAATCACATTGGGTTTGGAGCCTCCAGGTTGATGTGTAGATTAACTTTTTTTTGGGACAAAAAGATGAAGATTTGGTTTTTAAATTCTGAGAATTGAATCAAACTTCAAAGGTTTTAGCTGTCATTTGTTGATTTTATCAGTTCGTTTCCTGTTAAAAACAATGCAGCTATTATTAATATTAAAGCTATAATTAAATCTAGCCAACTAAAAGAAATCAAAAATTATTACCAGCCTTTAAAACCTAAGATCCAATAACACGTATAAAATGACAAGTAAAACTCTCTATTTTTGTCTTTCGTAACGATTCAATTTTATATTGTGTTATGCAATTATACAACGGATAAGATTAATTTGACACTTTTTTAAAAATAAAGAACCTATCACTAATCATCAACATCCAGTATTTCTATTCGAATATACGTGGGTATCCATAATTAAATTGATTTAAAAAAAAAAATTTCCTTCAGTATTATTTAATTAGCAAGATGAAGATGAAGAAACAAATTTGAATTTCTGTCAAAGTCCATTACTGACAAACCACGGAAAACTAGAGAAGGTTTTATTTTCTACCATAAGTAGATTGCATTCTCTTCAGACAGATGAATGGAATTGATTATATCCATCATTTCTTGAAAAAGGGAACGAACCCACCTTTTTTTCAAGGATCAAGTCATTTGAGACTAAGATATTTAAAACATGATATGTTATATATAATTTTATATTGTCAATACAATTTATTGAATAGAAAATGATGGTGATGAAATGGTTATTATAACCATGAGTGACAATTGTCGGTTTAATAATATTATTTATATATGTGGTATGATTTTTGTTTGATTAGAAGTGATGTTTCAAAATCAAAGTATTCTAAATCAAGCAAGATATTATGAACAAATTAGTAAGAAAATTGATAATAGTGATGGTTGTGATAAAGATATGATGGTGATAATGATGAAATACCAAATTTTAGTCGTGAAGTAATTTTTTTAGTTCTGTAAACATGGTGAGATTTAAACAATGATCTATATATAACGTTCCTCTTTGTTCCTTTTAAGTTTATTTTCAATCATTCATTTTAAGATTTTCAATATCTATGTCTTAATATTAGAGATAAATGGAAGAGGTACAGTGGTACATATTTAAATTCAATTACTTATTATTTAAAAAAAAGTTATATATACATCCAATAACTTAATTAGAGAGGCAATTTTTAAATAATCATCAAAGAAAAATTGATTAATCGAATAAAATCGATTCTAAATTCAACTCGGCTTTCGGAATCGAAGAAGAGGCTAGAGCTGGTAACAACTGTTTACATTCCTTAAACATTACTAATTAAAATATGAAGACATGTTCTTCATCTACAGTACCTGGACAAAAGTTTTGGAACACTTGCTTTTGTTAATTGCGCAAAAATGTACATAATAAACATATATGAAATTTATATCATTTGCGGTTTAGGTCCTTGTAAATATTTATGCAAAGCCTTGTGTGTCTGGGTTCCGTAGAACTCGAATAAACACATAAAAATGAAATTCGATTAAGTATTGGCAATCAAAAATTTTTGACATGATGTTTTTAGAAATTGTCCAAGAACCTACATAATTATATGTTTTGGAAATTTTGTATATGAAAATCCAAGTTTTGCTGATTCTGAAAAAGTATTTTTTATCGCATATTTTTTAAGATCTTTTTTTTTAAAAAAAGATCTAAAAAGTTTTCAAAATTTTAAATTTCAAAAAAAAAAAAGTCTAATTTAACTGAAGCTCAACACGGACAAATAGTTGGCCTTTATAAAGTGGAGCCTCATATAGAATTATTTCTAAAACACTTGGCTTCCCACCATAACAGTATATCGTATTAGAAGTCGTCCTAACAATCTAAGAAATCTTAAAGAACTTGAGGCTGCTTTAAAAGAGGAATGGAATAAAATTCCTCAAAATGTTTTAATGAATTTGATTGAAAGCATGCCTAGAAGAATTCAGGCTTGTATAAAGAGCAAAGGATACCCAACTAAATATTAAAAGTAGTTAAAATTTTAAATTAAAATTATTACATAGAATTTGAGTAATAAAATAAAATATTTCGCATCAGAAATTTAGTGATCGTCAAAGAAATTTTTTAATCGAATTTCATTTTTATATATTTATTCGAGTTCTACGGAACCTAGATGCATGGAATTTTGCATAGATATTTACAAGAACCTAAACCGCAAATGATATAAATTTCATATATGTTTATTATGTACATTTTTGCGCAATTAACAAAGACAAGTGTTCCGAAACTTTTGTCCAGGTACTGTACATTACTAATATAAAAAATAATGGAAGCCGAATAACTACCTGTCCTATTGGTTTTTTTTTTGGGAGGTCAGACACGAATTGATTTTTTTTTTGGAAAAACAATTTATTTTTTGACAGAGTCCAAGGTGACAAAACGTGAGCGTTGTTGTTTGGTTTGGTTTGGGTCTCCTAAAGAAAATGTGTAAATAACTAACCAGGGGTACTTTTTTTTATTGTATTGATATTTTTATTTTAGTTTATAAATATTTTAATTGGAATCAAAATGCAGAGCATATCTTGCTGGACAATTATAAGATTCTTATCAAGATGATAATAAATGATTGGTATTTTGCTTTGCGTAATCATAATAATATTATTATTATTAATATATAATTACAAGAGGATGTCAAGGCAATACACCATTTAAAAAGAAACAATTCAAATATTTTATAGATGTTGAAGCACGCATGCTACCTAGAACACTTATATCCATTCTCTCACACGTTCCTCATGTACATAAGGCTAATCTTGACCTGGTAACCCGAAGATATGATGATGCAATTGAATTCCAGAAGGTGCGTGGATCTGGAGTTTACCGAGACTGTATCAATTGTCAATGATGCTTTCGCTAATCTTCCCAGACCAAAGAAGGCAGCTGGCATGCTAGCTGAAAAGTCGCCTGCAACGATCCCACTTCTAGGTAAGGATGGCTCTGTGATCAAGTCGCAATTCTAGAGGAATATTACAAGAATCTGCAACTTGTTTCAAGCACATGAGGTCACATTCAGAGCAGGGTTTGTGGCTCTGAAATTGCATTTGACTCTGATGTTAAGAGGAAAGTTGTAAAATAGTGTTTGTTTTGTATAATCATTTTGCTAAATGCTCTGTTTTTTGATACTAACCAATTTATAATTTTGGGTAGGGGACTGGATTAGGGTTTTGCCCAATCAGTCCTCTGTTGTATAGATTAAAATTATTGTATGATTATATGCATCTTTGTCAACAATATGCCCAACAAGAAAAATTTATGATCATAAATTTATTTCGATTGGCTAATTCACAATATTAAAAAAATTATAATTGTGTCAGTGGTGTAATGACCCAAAGAAATAGGAAAAGATATACCAAAAAAAACAAGCAGAAATCATAGAAATTGAATTACAAAAGATATTGGATGCTTGTAAAGGAGATAAAATTCCATCTAAACATGTCTCTGAATGGTATCATCCTCCAAAATACTCTTATCAAAGTTTAACACCAAATCCTGATGATGACTATTTATTATCAATTTTTGGCGACCTGAAAAATTCTATCATAACTATGCACCTATCATTCCTTGTATCATTGAAGTCGCTAAATCAAAAAGGGTGGCACAATTAATTTATGGCATAATTATGGTGCAAATTGCTTAGTCCGTACAACTTTTATTGACCATGTAGATTTTTTAATTCCTCCAAAAATGGAAATATGATGTTAAAAAAACCAAATTGCAGTTTTGAAGCTGAGACCTTTCTCTACAAAGTTACGATTTTATTTTGTCAATATGTCACGTTGTCATGGAAAAATTAAACTCCAAAGTTGCACGAATTCTAGATAGCTATAAATTTTAAAAAATCATAAACCCTCCTACATTATAGACGAGATTCCTAGTAAACTTACTTCCAAAGTTAAGATTCCAAAGAAACTCACCTTTGCATAAACTGTTATAACTCATCATACAGACGAGAATTTTTAATTCTGAAAAATGATTTGAGCTCGCAGAACATCTACAATATATTTATTAACATTGATGTATTTTATATTGCAAATGTAATTTTTGTCATAAATTCTAAATGTTTATTAATGCAAATTTTAAAAAAATCATAATAGACAAAAAAAACAGCATTAGACAAGGTTCCTATGAATTAAAAGCAATTTTTAATTTTTTTTCTAGTAACAAAGTTCAGTTTTGCGGTTGAGCCAGTTTTATTAAATTTGGACCGGTTTTATTTGAAACCAGTTCGGGTTTTGTAAAAGAGATTAAAATCAGTTCTAACCTCTATCTGGATTTCGAAGCTTTGGATGTTGGATAGATAATTCGGTTATTATTAAATTTTCGTTGAGTTGTATTTGCTTTAAAGTTAACATGTACTTTTCACATCAATTTGGATATGGGCTTCCACGTCAACTACTATCGTTGAAATATTTACAATATGAAATCATGCCATTATGAAAGTGGCTCATACAATTTTTGGTGCCTTCCAGACCTTTTTTCGGCTGATTTCGAGTAGAATTATTATTACACACAAATGATTTCAATTTTCAATTTTCAACCAAACCACCTAAAATTAGCTTAATGTTAAGGCGGGTTAAGATAGGGTCTAAGTTTAGAGAATTCAAAAAGGTTTAGGTCACGGTATTTATTTTGATTTCGATTTCGATTTTAATACTAATACTAATACTAATACTAACACTGAGTATGAGGGTATTTTGATTTCGAAAACTAGTGTATCTTTGATTGAATTTCGCCATCATGTATGGATTATTATACTAATTTGGTCAAGTTAAAAATTTTTTCTAGTGCGAAGACCCATTTTATTGTTCAAAAAATTTTGATTTCCGTGGTTTTGAAAAATATACATTTATTCGTTACTAATATCCAAGTCTGCATTATCCTTACGGTATACCCATATATAATAATTTTTTTTTGATAAACCAAAGTTAAAGAAATATTCCAAGATTTAATTCCCAAATAATGGTAATAATAAACAATAATCTTTTTTCACCTAATTGGTATTATATTAATCAAAAAGAATTGTTTGGTTTTTTTTTTTCACTATTCAAAGTTCGTGATTCTTTCTCTTCTTCCTCAACATTGTTAATAATATTATCACCATCATCACTGATGGTCTTATCATCGTCATAATCATCAGCATTCATTCCTTGAGAATTGTAATTATCATCATCATCATCTTTTTTGTTCAAACTTGAAATAATGCCATCGACTTCATTACAGTCATTTCTCTTCTTGTAAGTGTATATTTTCACACATCCATCTATTTATTAATTAATAATTATTAATAATTAATGGTTAATGATTAATGATTATAATTAATAGTAATAACTAATAATTAATATTTACCATCACCACATGTAAATAATAAAGGTTTCCAAGGGTGAAAAATGACATCTCTGACTTCATACTCTTTATAAATATATGAATATATATATTTATTACTTATTGTTAAAGAAAAAGAAAAGCTTTTAAAAAATAATTACTTTCATGATCATCAAGTATTGCAACAATATTTCCAGTCCTTAGATTAAATATACAAACTTCTCCTTTCATTGTTGGTGCAGCAAGATACCGACCATTTGACGAAACTTTCACAAACCAAGAATTAGATACATAACTTTGCCCCCCAAAACATAAAATAAGAAAATGATTAGATTAATGGTAAATAACGATGATTTGTTAAAAATAATATCAATTGATTTCCTTTTTACTTACCTATCATGTTGAAAGATTCTAACTTTTTCTAATAGAAAATCTTCGCCATTTCTAGCTGGATATATCAACTTGTGTAAAGTACAAACATTATCTAATAATATTTGAATGCAAAAATCATGAATCAATACTAATGATAATAATAAATTATTATCATGTATACACATTCGTTATACCTATTTTTGCATATTCAGACACTATCGTCTCAACACCTCTAGTTATAAAATATGCATATTGAAGAGGAGTGGCAGTAGACTCTGATGGCTGTGGTGATTTACATCTATTCCCAGATAAAATTTTCTTTTTTATTCTATAGTTATCACCATCACCATCATCACCACCACCATCATTATCCACATCTTGGCCATTTATATCCTCCAATGGTTCTACTGGATGTATGAATTTTACACAATCACAATATTGTGAATAAAGGCTTTCTTCAAAATTTTGTAAAAGCTAAATCAAAAAGAAAGTTAGAAAAATTTACAAGACAACTTATTAAAAACAACCAAAAAATTTTATTATTATTACCTGACCAGTTTCAAAATCATATAATTTAATTATATCATCTATAGCAGCCAAAAAATATTTATTACCAGTATTTGGAAGAAATGAAATATAAAATACTATATAACCATCTTCGATAAGTATTTTTTCTTTTAATGTACTGAAATTTTATTTAAAAATTTTTTAATCAATTAACATCATTGCGTTGAGTTTCAATTTAAAATTAATAGTTTCCTTACATCCAATCATCGTCCATCTTCCATTTAATAAAATAACCATCTTGACTTGTAGTTATATAATAATTTTCTCCTTTAAATATAACACTTTTAATAGATAAAACTTCTTCAACATGTCCCTCAAGTTTACCAATACATTCTCCCGCGATAACATCAAAAATCTAACAATATAGATATTAGTGCATTGAAAAAATTGGTGAATCGCTAAACTATTTTTTTTAAAGTTAACCTTTAATGGACCTGGTAATACGGGATTATCACGCTCTTCTTCATCCCATTTGTACCGATCCTTTAACTTTCCACCAACAATCAAATGTGTATGACTAGGTGTAAACTTTCCAACATAAAATTCATCGATATTCTTTTCCTAATAATAAAAATCGCCCTTAAAAAAAATTTCTTTTTCTTGCTTAATAAAAAACCCCCCACACATAACTTTTAAATTCAATCAAATCTTACTTTCACATCTCTCATTTTTTGAAGCATTCTAAAATCTATGGTATCCCATATTTTAACAACTCCGTAAATACTAAGTGTAGCAAGCATTGTACCATCAGGTGAAAGAACCATACCAAGAATAGAACCTTTGAATTATGTGATTGGTGAATGGCAAATAAATTATTATTATTATTATTGTTTTTACAATATTTATTAAATAATAATTGTTACCATAATCTGATACATCTACATTAAGTAATTCAAGTACATGCTCTTCGTTTATATAACTTATCATTCCATAACCACTCTCAGCATGAAATTGCCAATACTCATCAGGAAATTCTTTAGACAATTTATTAACCTCCATTACATTATACGTTTGAACTATTGTTTTCTAATTCATTTTTTGTTAATAAAATAGTTATCATGTTAATTTTCGATTGATTTTTTTAATAGCCAAACAAAGAAAATCTATATGATCAATACTTCTGATTGTCTTTTCTTTGATTCTAAATTATTGTTTGATGACATTTCATCATCATCATTTTTATCAGTAACAGTTTTTAATTTTTGTTTCATTAAACTAGGTTTTGATTTGCTGTCACGCTTAATGTATTTTGAATCTCTATTTATTCTACCCGAAGATGATGCTGTTGTTGTTGATGACGATGAACCTAATGATGATGATGATGATTCATCTGCATTTTCTTTCTTGTCTTTATTACTAGTTATGCCAGTTCTTTTTGATAAAGTTTGATTAGCTTTTGAAGTTATTTTAGAAAATTTGGTTTTTATCACGTTTGATTTTCTTTTTCGAGAAGTTGGTGACGATAATGTTTTTTCAGCTGTCTTTGACTTTTCATGTGTTGATTTTCGAAGTATTTGTTTGAATTCAGACTACAAATTAAATATTTTAAACGTTTGCAAAAAAAATAAAAATGACAAATTAATTCTTTTTCTTACAGCAGATCTTGCGGCCGTTCTTTGAGTCATCTTTAAAAAAGTATCAGCAAAAAAATTTTACGCGATATTATATAATTTTCTTATTAAATTAAAAAAGAATTATTTTCCTTTTTTTTTAAAAAAAAAATTTCAGTTTTAATTTTTAAAACGGTCGTGCGTGAATTTTAAATTTGCGTGAAATTAAATGAGCCAATCACATTGTAGTCAACAGTTATATATAAACATCAAATTTCTATTGAGATGACATCATTGTTGCATTAATAACTCACAAATCCTTCGATATTTAAACGAGATAACAATATCATAATCACATTTCTTTTAGCAATTGTACTTACACATTGTGTATTGGTATTTGTTCCTTACATTCAAAGCAACACTTCAAGTATTTATATTTCATTTCGTCTGTTGCATAGGCATTGAATATTATTTTTTTTTTTAACGGGAGTCATTTACAAAGAAAAAAAAAAAGGTGAAATCGATCTCATAATTGGATAAATTTATATGCAAAAAAAAAAATAATTGTATTTTGTAAATTTTTTTTGTTTATGATTCTTTATTATTAATTTCCAATCCATTATTTGAATCATTCAGATCCTCTTTATTATTGTCATTATTGATTTCCAAATCACTGTTTGTATCATCACTATCATCATCCTTCTCCTTTTTTACCCCCTCCTCCCCCTCATTATTATTATTATTATTTTTCCATCTTCTTTTCTTTCTACTTTCTTCACTAAATTTCCTTTGCGGGATAACTTCCAAGAATGCTTTTTCCCAATCTTTATGTTCCAACCATTTAATAAGTATGTCAAATACTATATATTATCAATATAATTATTCATTAGTAAATTCATTTATAAATCATTTGTCCCAGTCTAATCATTTATTAATATATTTACCGTGATTTATAGCAAGAACTTTTCTTGAAGATAACTTGATAAAATTCTCGATTGGTAATCTGGCAGTTTCAATTCCTTCTTCTACAGCTTTATTATAACAAAGTGACTATCATGATGCATAATAATAATTAAATACATTGTAATTCATTATTATTAACATCCATTTTTAATATTTACCTTGTGTCTGTTTTTATCAACAATTCCTCCAATAATATAAATATTATTTTCATCCAATGTGTTGATAATATTATCAGAATCTGCTGTCAAATAAATCAATTTACCATTACCGCCATCGTCGCCACCATCACTATTGGTTCTATTGTTATTATCAGTATTGAAATAATTTAAATAATATTGAGAATGGAATGAAATGTTTTTCCAATTTAAATAATCTTTTAGTCTCAAAACAAATCTTTCTTCGATACGTTTATTAAACGAAGTGAATATTAAATCTACTGGATTTATAGTTGATCTATTTGTTGAATAACATCTTGTCAATTGAGAAGATAAAGAAATTATTTCCTAGAGATTAATAAAAATTCAAATTAAGATTTTACATTGGGGAAAAAAAAGCAAAGAATCAAATAATTACTAACTGCGTCATTCATATATTCATCAAATGATAAATCTATTATTATTTTAACATTAGTTTGTTGAATTTCTTCTAATTTGATTTTTGGTTTTTTGAGTTTTGGTGAGAGCAATCCCAACTTGAATGCTTTCTTTCTTTCTTCCTTTCTTTTTCTATCCTTTTCTTTTAGTATGGCTTTGCGTTCTAATTTTGTTTCTTCCCATTTTTTTTGTTTTAGTAATTTTTTCAATGCATTTTTTGATAAATTACTTGTTTCTACTGGTAATTTTGCTGAAGTTGTTGACATTGAATTAACATTGTTGCTAATATTACAAGTATAATTTTCACCATCACCATTATTATTTTCTTCCTTTGTTGACATTTATTATTATTCTCTTATTGCAAAAGATCAAAAAAAATCATAAATTCCCATAGAAAAAATTTCTTAAATAAGAAATAAATAATAAATGTTTTTATTAACCAACTATATATGGTATTCTCATTTTCTTAATGTAAATTTTTTCAAATAATTAGAAATTATGGTAAAAATAGAACTTTTATATACGTATGTGGTTATTGAACCTTAAGATTTTAAGGATTGGCAAAAAATTTTGGTGTAGTATACTATAGCATTAATATTAATGGTAATGGTAATGGTAATAGTAATAGTTATATTGATTGCTTTAACACATTTCAGAAAAAACCAACAATTGCCAAAATTTCTTGACCATTTAATATCTAACATTTAACCTTTAATCAAAATTTACAAACTTTTAAAATTATTTTAATGGGATGGGACATGAGACAGAAAATAAAAAGAAAAACCAGTCAATTCTCCCCACTATAGTGAACAGCTCAAATTTATTTGCGAACACCATTTCTATCTGTCACCAAAGAAGATTCAACAGAAGAGTTGGTAATTGTTAGTTCGTTCTTATAACAAAATAAAAGTTATCATACTTCCTACTTGTAATCCTGGAAACCTTATCACCGAGATGTAATTATCTGGATTTTGATCTTTGTCGATGATGCTCCTATCATTCATTATTGATGAGATGGATGAGATGATGAGAATCAGAATATAAGAAATATGTCTCGAAGCGCACATATGTGAGGGGAGAAGAAAAGTTGATAATGGAAAATAAATATATTTGGTTATAATTCTAGTATTTTTGATGATGTTATAGCTAGCTAGCTATACATCGCATGCAGCCCAAATTGTTTTCCTGTCAAATTTAATTATGATTGAATTATGACATACATGTAACGATAATTTCATATTATATAGTTGTTGCTATTATTATTTATGGTGTAAAAGACTCAAATCCAATTATGATTGAATTATAAGATTTTACGCGTATTATTTTCTAAAAATTCCATTTTTTATTAGTTTTCTAAATTCTCACAAATAAATTTCTTTTTCCTTAAGTTCTCGAGTGTCAGTTAATTTATATAAATATATACATTAGAAAATGCTATTTTCTCACCTTCTAATAGCTTTGTAATTCTTGAGCTCCATGGTGTGTCTTATGTAAATAATTTCATATTAATATTTTTGTGTAGGAATTGAATAGCATATATACATAGTGGAAATTTGAAATGTTACACTAATTTTTTATATTGTGCAACGTAGCTTTACAATACGTGGCAAACATTCTGGCAATAAAAAGTAAGTGATAAACTGGATTTGAATTGGATCTCCAGTTTAGAGAGGTAACAACTATATATTGGTGAAGCTTCAGGAGAAATGAGTTCTATATAACATTTCTTGTAGCAACAAACTTCCATTATGCTAGGAAAGCAGGAATAATAATTATTATCAATATCAATACACAACATTAAGGGGTACAAGAGTTTAGAAAATTGAACTGCGGTTAATTAAACAGGAGGGAACGTACTGGGAACACAAAATAACAGGAGGGAACACAAAAATTTAACCCATGCAATTTTGTGATTGACCAATTAAAATCGTGAATTTGATAATGTAGAAATAAATATGGGTTTGATTCATTTTGTCAACAATTACTTCACCAACAATTGTTTCGTTAACGAATTTAAGAATTTGGAAGCAACCACGCGACAAGCCTTCAAAATAGTCTAATAAATTAAATTGTACTACTCGAAAATGTATTTAAAGGGTTAGTTTTCGACTTGGTTGAAAAATAACTCTCTTCCTAACTCTTCTCTTGACCATATCTCTCGATATAATCAAAATAACCTTAATATAATGAATGACGACAAAATGTAAACATGACCAATTTAAGATTTGTATGAAAAAACAAATTTATTTAATAAACAAAATTTACAACTCAAAAAATGTTTTTTTTGCATTTTCTAATAAAATTTCCATCGTTGCTGCATCGTCAGTTGCTGATTCAACATTACCCGAATCATCATCAACTGTATATTCGTTATTTTCGATAAATTCATTTTCGTTTAATCTTTTTGTCATACTTTCTTTTAGTGCGCGGACATTTTTTTTGATTTCGACTTTAAGATAGTCCAAGCATATCAAACATTTAGATTGACACCTTTGTAGACAATGATTGTGATAACCATGTCCACACGCGAGTACACTACAATTATTCAAATCAGTATAGTTAGTGTAATCACAATATACGTAATCACAAAAAATGTTAGTAGATGGTTTCCTAGAAGTAACAAAGCCTCTTGGAAGGTGACGATCGGTTATTTCGTAAACTAAAGAAGGTAACTTGTATGAGTTAATACCATTAGATGTTTTAGTAATCAAAGGATACTGGTTTCGTGCTTGATATATCTTTGTAAACACATCTAAAAGCAATACAGCACACTTTCGGGAAAGCATATGCAATTGTTTAGGTGTATATGGATATTTTACTGAATCTATGAAATGTTGTCGAAAAGAATTATCCTCTCGATGTTGAAAAATAAAACATGCCTCCTTTTGCAGTTGTTGTGCAGTAAAAAACTTAGCTGTACGTCGTCGAATAATGCTGTGAATGATTTCTACAGATAATTAGTAAACATGTCAATCATTGGATGATTTGTCTCCATCCAATAAAAGATATCAGAAAAAAACATTAAAGGTGCACGCTTATAATTTCTTCTATCAAACCGAAGAAAAAGATCACTCCAGCAACGCATACAAGCTTCCTCATAAGCCAGCCAGTTACCTTCTCGATGGTGCACTGCGTAAACGTCAAGAACTAAAGGAATTAAATTGCTCAAAAGATCGGTTAAATATAAAAATTCAATGTTTTTGCATGTACGACCAAACTTGGAATAAACAATATTATCTATATCAAGCCATGCCATGCGCATGATGTGAAGAATTAAATCAATTCGCCATGGCCGTGGCTTCTTACCAAGTTCCTTACGATTGCCAAATAGTCCTTTATAGATATTGTTAAATAAAAACGAATTTTCCTTAAATACAAGTTCACAACCATTTAAAGATACATGAAGAGGGCCCATAATAGGTAGAAATGCTGTAACGAATGAAGGAATAGTTTCGTTGTTGTTAAGCCGATGTACAATAGCTTTACGAATGAAAAACTGTCCAGGCCAGTCCGCGACGATAGGAATTGCGTAATTAGAAAGATATGCTTGCATTGGTTCTTGATCATGTACGATTTGGAGAGCTTTTGTGTAATCTTCCACGCCTTTCAAATTGCTTTCAACAAAATCAAAGAGGATAGTATTCTGTACATGCCGATCGGTCTTTTTTTCCACTAACCTATCATTGTAACTATGCAATGTTAGTCTAATCATGAGCTCATCATCAGAACATTCGTTACCTATATAGTCTTGCATGCGATCATTATAAGAGACACCAAGATTTGTGATGAATCGGTCATCAAGATGTTTCACAATCAACTCATCATCAAAGATTTTTGGATTCAATGCCCCATTACGTGGTATTGCTAACACATCGGGACATGGATTTGTTACGATAGTCGCCATATGTGCTGCCCAAGATGTAGTAGTAGTATCAGGTTGTCTCTGGACGTGAATGTTATGATAATCATCAACATTCAACATGAATGCACTTTTGGAATATTTTGTAAGCGCATTCTCTACATATTTCTTATGTTCATCTGCAACTTGCTTTTTTTTATGACGTACTGCTCTTGATGTTGTGGTTGCTCCAAGGTTTGCCATTGTATTTAGACCTTCATTACTTGTACCTACCGAATCTAAATAGAATGCAAGGTCAAACTTAAAAGAGTTAATTTTTGTATTATTTAATGAAGCAAGAAGATAACATATGAACACCATTAATCTCTTCATACGGTCCATTGTTTGTTCATTACGTTCAAATGGCCGAGCTGCTAAATAGAGTTGGTCAAAAAACCCCCTCAAGCTTGGTTCTATTTCTTGGAGTAATGTTCGCATTTCATCAAATTCGTATATAGGACCTTCTTTATTATTACATTCTCTTTCATAAAAGATTTTAGCAATCATCTTGATGGCTCTAGTAAAATCAATCTTTTCACTTACCTCTTCCTCATCCTCATCTGTAGTTTTTACTCGCTTAGATTCCCTTTTTAAAGGATTTTCTACGAAATTCATGTAACAAATGTTACATAAAACAACACCTTCTGTCCACGTTACCTTCACTAAGTTGTTGTTCTCAGCTTCTTTCCATTTATTGCCTTTCAGTTGACGAAATTTAGCCGATTTAATGGTTTTACATTCTGTGCAATGTTTAATTTCAGACATTTTTTCTTTGAGTAAATCGTATTATGAAAGCTGTGGGATTCAAAGGGATTCAAAAGATATGATAACAACAAAGTGTAAAGCTTCAAATTTGTGTAATTATTTGCACATGATTTATTGTAAGAATGGGCTACGTAATACCCTTGTAAAAGTATTTTAAACTGTATAAAAAAAATTGAAATCAATTGTGAAAATCCATTCCTTATATAGGACGGTCTCTCCTGTTTATAACATCTAATAAATTATACTGGTTTGTTTCTTGTTTAGTTATTCCGTGATGATCGCTTCCGATTTTCACTTCGTGTTACTTGTAAATCATTTCCGATTTATATATTAATTTCCTGTGATTTATAGTTTACTATTTTACATTATAGATCTTTATATCAATATTTCTACTTATAATCCAAATATTTATTTGGTTAAATGTTACAATGTTTTAAATTTAGAATAGTTCTACAAGTCACATAATCTGCAATACTCAAGAAGTATTTAAACATTTAGAAATTGCTTGAGTTAAAGAACAAACAAACAATCAAACAATTGATAAATCAATAATTAATGGTCTTGATAACTATCTTAATACTCTAATAAATATATAACCCTTTACATAAAATAGTCTTTGACTGTAATTGATTAATAAACAAGTATGGTTGGCTCTTCTAATTATTAATAGTCAGGCCA